AGGGACCACCACTCTTAGCCAGGGCAGTCCCCCGACAGGACACCTGGCAGCTGGGATGCTTCGTACTTGTGACCTGTCTGTCCATTCACTCAGCAAATCCCCCTCTGGAGTGTGACTGGCCGACTCGGACAGAAGGTACCCAAGCAGCCCCCAGCCTGGGTGGGCGGGAAGGCCAACAGGCCCTGGCCTGAGGTCTTCTGCACTGTCCCCCAACCCATGCACAGCTCGATTGCTGTAGCACAGCCCCCGGTGCCAGGAAGACATGCAAAAAATGAGGACAGCCACGGCAAACCAGACCCCAGGAAAGAAGGAGGAAGTTGTTGATTACACGTCAGGCTGAGCCCAGACAGACCCCAGACGCCCCGAGCACAGCAGGCCCTCTCCCAAGCGCTCCGCTTGCGAAGTTAACCAAGCGTCACCAGACCGCCTTTGGCAGGAGTCGCAGCCAACACAAAAACAAATATTATATAAAGTTGAAGGAGACAGCCTGGGCAGAAAAAGCCCAGTTGACACTTCCAACGGTCCCCTTTGTGTTGCAGGTCACACACTTTGTGACCAAATCCCTCCCCTCCCCAGGCCTGTCCTCTTCAATCCCGCCCATGTGGCCCTGAGCTCCACTCATTACCCTTCCAAGTTGACCATCACTAAGAAGATTTCCCCCAGTCCAACGAACCTCGCATCTCATGCTCTACTGCAGACGCTCCTGACCTCTGGGGAGGTCAAAACCTTACTGAGAATCCCATCAAAGCCCTGACATTCTCCCCAGGAGCAGCAAGCATGATTGCAGGGAACTCACAGATGCCCTGAGCTGCCTGGGGTTACAAGCCTCGGTGGCCGTCCCCATGCCCATCTCCTCCCATTTCCCTCCTGCACTGAATTTGAGAAAAGCTCAGTAACCAGCCTCCGTTTGGAAGAATCATGTAACTCCAACAAATGTCAAGAATCCATAAGGACTCCTTCCAGAAGGCTGGCCATGACATAAGGTCTGCAGGAGAAGGTCACGTCCCTCAGCTCAAGAGCTCTGGCCAGTCGGACTGGCAGCATCCCTGAAGGACACGCCCTCCCGGCGACTGCCGCGCAGATGTACCAACGTGACTTGCTGGGACTGCTGAGACTCAGTCTGTTACAACTGGCATCGGCTGCCACGGGCAAGTCATCAGAAGAACCTGACCTTGGCAAAGCACATTTTACACTTGAGCGCAATTCACTGGGTGACACCCAGCGGGGCGCAGGGAGGCAGGAAGAGGGAGAAGGTGCTGGAGTGTGCTGCCTGGCGCTGCCCACCCCACAGCACGGCACAAGCCACCTCACCCACACACGCAGACCCAACCCACGAAGCCAAATTCTCGAGCTGCTGCTGAGAATCCCATAAAAAGCAATGCTATTTCTAACCTCCCGCACCATGGAAAAATACACCCGCCACCAAGCAACCCAGAATCTCTGAAGGGTTTATTTTTATACTCTTTTCCCCACGCCCCCACCCCAACCTCCCCCACAAAAATTTAGGTGGAAAATTTGCTAGCTTTTTAGCAGCTTAACAATACTGTGCTAGGTATCAACTGAAGAAGTTGCCAGCACACTGGAATTGAAAGCAGAATGTTCAAGGTGCTTTTCTGATGGGACTCTGCACACCTACTTGAGAAAATAATATAATCTAATAATAGGAAGACAGAAACCATCAAACAGACAGAGAAAATCCCCCAGGTCCCAGACCACAGGGGAAGCAACAAAAGGAAGAAGTTTCTCTTYTGAAAGCCTGTCCCCGTTTGCTGACCCTCCTCCCTGAATTGCCCATTGTCCTAGTCCAGCCCACAGATAGAGCGACCAGCGCTCCTGACGCCCTTGCTGGGCTTCTGTTTTCCTCAATGCTACTCTGAACCTGAATCTGAAGGGTGAGCTGGGGCTCCAGACCTGACTCCCTGGTGCTGCACAGAGGAAGGACTCAGGCAGGGGCAGGAAGGCACTGGAGATGAATGTGGACTGCAGGACCCAGAAACTTCCAGAAGCCAAGAGAGACCCTTGAACCAGGACTCCTGGCACTGGCAGCCATGGGGTCACCTCTCTGATGACAACCTGGAAGGACAGCAGAGGCTCCAACCTGCTGCGGTCCAGCTGCTTATGCAGACAGGACATCCTGGTACAGCCCTGGAGGAACCTAACCTGAAGGCAGAGTTCACTCCCAGAGTTGGGAGCCCGGCCCCTGTGCCACGCCCAGCCGTTTCTGTTGGGTCACGTTTCTCACAGTTAAGTCCGTGTCAATGTCAAAGATGACTTTGTACCGACATCTGGTGAAAACAAGCATTAATTTATTTACCGGAGTGGAAAGCAGGAGCCCACATTTAAAGGTGATGAGCGCTTATCTCAGTTCTACTGTTCTTCTTTGATTTTTACCCTAAAAGTTTTAAATTTAAGGCAAGAACGGGAAGATCGGGTCCCAGGGATGCATGGCGGTGGAGAGGGTTGTCTGTCAACTGCCGAGGGTCACCATACTGGGACCACGGATCCCACGCCGACTCCCTGTCCCACAGTCTATCAAGGACGTTGAAAGGAACCAAGACAGGTGGGATTCTCCCCACCTGCATCCTCTCGTCTGCTGAGAGCCAAGCAGATCCAAGGCTGAGGTTCCATTCTCTCCAGAAGAGAAATGGGTGAAGAGAGGTCAGGAGCAACTCCCTGGCCTGCATCTCAGAGGCTGCACCCCAGCACGCCCGGCACTTGGAAGACACCTGTGAAGTTCTTCAGGAATTCTCCCTGTGCTGATTGAGGACAGAGATTGCCACCTCTGTCTCTTTTCCTCTAATCCTTCCACCTACCATGTACCAAAATGCTGAATTAGGCATCTACTAAATAATTCTTCAAGATAAATAACATCCTGATAAAAGTCAAAAAAGTTGAGACTCAGAGCTAGAACCTGGTGTGTGTCACAAAGTGAATAAAATCCACGGGGCGAGAATTCAACCCAAATTCCGCGGCTTGTGACTCCACTTTACAAATGCCACATGCCAAAGGGCAAGCCTTGAGCTCATCCAGGAGGCCCCAGTGATGAAGCACATTAACAGCACCCTACACATGCAGACCCACCCCCATTTCAAAGCCAAGTTCAAACGAATCCATGTACAGAAAGAGGGTCTGTGCAAAACGCAGACCTCCGTGGGCTTCTCAGACAGGCAGAACACTGAGCCGTAATGCCACCTGTCCACTGCATCAGCCCTTAGGAATGTCTCACAGCCCAGCTGTGAGCTGCTTAAGGGACCAAGCTTTACAAGTAACAGAGTGAATATAAATTCCGGGACAGTCAACTGTAAGGACCTATTTTAGAGGTGTGAAAGTTCTTACGACACCTCGGAATCTAAGTCTGTGCTTGAAAATTACCCGTGATGCGTGAAGCAGCATTCGGGTCTGCAGAGACAGCCTTGCTTCTCAGACCTCTGGGGGGTGGGGGGCGGGCAATGCGGCTTTCCATCTAACCTGAAAGCCACACTCAGCAACTGCAAGTTGAGAAAAAGTTTTCCATTACCAGTTTTGAAAGTTGCTTAAAATAGCTGACAGAATGAGGTAATCCCATATAAGGAGGAAAATCAGATACTTATGTAATTTTCAAGAATTATTTCTACTTTTGCCAAAGTTTTGCAAATCAAGTTGGGCAGCCCTTCGGGGCATAGGYCAGTGGGTGCATTAGGAGAGTTGGTGAACAGTGACTTGGGGCAGCTTTAGCTTGGGGTGGGTAAATTCAAGGGGGCTGTATTTGGAATGAAGAATGCAAACAGAGCTGCAYCCCCAGTTTGTAGGCCCTGGTGGGGTCGAGCAGTCACCTCCCACTCTAAGCTGGTGGTAGGTGCCAAGTTACAGAAGAAACCTAGTGCAGCTCACCAGCTCTCACAGGGCAGCAAAGATGGGAATTCTCAAGCCTCATGCTGCTCCTTTAGGATCTCAGGGGCCAGATGAACCATTCATCAGTCCCTGAACACCCAGGAGATGAATGAAGGCTTATCACACCCAGTGAGTCCCGGTGCCTTGCCCTCCACATTTTCAGACCTCTGATAGTGAAACTCACAGGAACCCTCAAGGCAGCAGTAGACAGGAACCCACTGCACTCAATCAGCCAATGGCCCACTGTGCTACGCACGCTCTTAAGCACCTGCCATGCCAGGAAGGGTCCAAGTTGTGAAAAGCCCCGGTGTGCCTCGGTGAAGAAGCACCCTAAACCCCCTCCCCAGTCCCCAACCATCATCTATTGCCAATAGCAGCCATAGATAGAAAGGACTGGGTGTGCTGAGCGCCTCCAAACACACCTCCATCCATGTCCTTCATTTGACGAGTTCCCTGGAGCTCCCTGCTGTGGACACTGTCCTTCAGCACAATGCAGTGGGTGCGGGGACAGGGGACAGGGCTGGGGGTCCACTGGCCCTTAGAAAGTTTCCATTCTATCAAGGAATTTGCCACAAGCAATGAGCATACCACCTGGCACATTAAAAATTTAGGGAAAAAAAATTACATCTTGTATTTCATAGAACTTCCTCCTTTCCTCAAGATTCTCAAGTGCGTCCCCCACTGAGGTTCCCTGCTGTCAAGTGAAGCCTGCCAATCAGGCAGGACAAGACTCACTAAAGCCACTTCAGAGTTGACAAAATAGAGGCACAGGGAAGGGAGGGGGGCATGCCTAAGGGGAAAAGCGGACGGTGGGCAGGCTAGAGGGGGGGACACTCCTGGCAGCCTCYAGCACCTCCCCTGGCTGTCCCCCAAGGGGGCTGGCTCTGAATGGGGCTTGGGCCTGAGGATATCAGAGGTGACTCAAACACATATRTGTCATCTAAGCTTCTGCTGAAGACACCCCAAGTCCCAGCCACTTAGCCCCCCMCACACACACACACACAAAGTGGCATATACACACACGGACTCACAAACATAAAACCAAACGCAGTAACTCAGGAAGGGACCATCTCAGAATAGCTGGTGTTTGACAGTCTTTGTGACAAAGAAGAGCCGGAAGCCCCACTCACCTTTACCACTACGAGCAGACAGGTATCAGTCCTTGGAAACGGTCCAGCGGAGGAGGAGGYGGCGGCGGCGTGAGGTGGCAGGTGCAGAGCTTGTGCTACAGAAAGGAAAAGAAGGGCCGTCAGGGCACCAGTCCTTCCTTCCCCCTGGAACATCCACCCCCAGACACACCAGCTTCCAGAAAATGTCTGAGGGCTGTCAAAACAAAAGGCACAAATATCAAAATAAAGCAAATAAAAATGTGAAGATCAGCAGCAAGTGTTAAAGGGAAGGAAGAGGGGATCTCAGCAGAACCTCTGGAGCAGGGAACACCACCGGCCCGCCCCACCTCCGACCTGCAGGGAGCAAGACCAGCTGCTCCGGTTCCTCCCTGAAATCCCGGCCTGCTTCTGTGCCCTCCTGAAGCTCTGGCCTCTCCGCCAGCCCTCTGTCCCGTCAGTGATACATCCTCCACTGGGTGCTGCAGATTTTGTCCAGGCCACACAACCCATCGCCAGCCCCCTCGCCCCAAGATGGTGAGCTGACTCCACGCACACAGGGCCTCGGAGGCTGAGCACGGTGCCTCCTCAGGAGACCTCCACGCACCTTTCAAAGCAGCTTCGGGAAAACTCGGTAGAGCTCTGCCTCCCATACCACAAGTGCCTCCCAGCACCCGGCCTGCCAGTGGGTCGGATGCTCCTGTCCAAGGCTGAATGAGCCGCCATCTGTCTAGCTCATGTGCCGTGCCCCCTCCAGGAGACTTGTCCCTCAAAGCACAGTGCTGCCATATGTCACTCCTGAGTGATCCGCCAATGCTAAGGCATCCAGATTAAAAAAATGACTGCACCTAGCTCGAGRGCCCCATGAGAATCCCGCAGAGGCCCACCCCAACACCTGAGCCAGTGCCTCCCTGTGTCTGTTCAACTCCCCCTGTCACTACGGTGGGGACATCTCTTTTTTCCCCACATTTTTTTATTGATGCGTTTTGGTTGTATATAACTGAGGTGATCTGTGGTTACATATTCGAACCTGCACACAATGTAACAACATAATTGGGCCATTATTACTCCCCAGCACTTCTCCCTCTTTGCCCCCTTCCACCCCTTGATCCCTTTCCTCTACTGAGCTCTCTTTGATTCCCATGAGACCTCCTCCCAACCTTCTTTTGCTTTCTCCTCTCTGACTTTCTTGTATGAAAGAAAACTTGACTCCTTGACCTTCTGAGTTTGACTTACTTCCTTTATCATAACGGTCCCCAGTTCCATCTATTTTCCTGCCAATGACATAATTTCATTTTTCTTTACGACTGAATAAAACTCCACTGTATATACACACCACATTTTCTTTATCCATTCCGCTCTGATGGACACCTGAGTGGGTTCCACAGTTTGGCTATTGTGAGTTGGGATGCTATAAGCATGGGTATGCAGGTATCCCTGGAGCATGCTGACTCTAATTCTTTAAGATATAGACTCAAGAGTGGTCCAGCTGGGCCATATGGTGGTTCCAGGCCTGGCCTTCTGAAGAACCTCCATACTGATTTCCATGGTAGTTGTCCTCATCTACCATGCCCTAGTCCCACCAACAGTGAGTGTCAAAGTGTTCCTTTCTCCACATCCTCTCCAGCACATATTATTATCTGTATTCTCGATGGCTGCCATTCTGACTGGTGTGAGATGAAATCTCAGGGTAGTTTTGATTTGCATTTGCCAAATTGCTAATGATGTTGAACACTTTTTCATATATTTGTTGGCCATTGGTATTTCTTCCTTTGAGGAGTTGGACATTTCTTTCTCCTCTCCTTCCTTCTCTCCACTGAGAGAAGAAAACATGCACTTCTGATTCTCCAGAACTTAGGAACAGGGATCCCTCTCCTAAAGCTTTCTGGGACTCAAACGCTGCGATCTCTTGGGAACAGAAGTCAGTGAAATGACCTGAGTGTCCTGGTTAGGGCAGAATCCCATGTGACTCCACAGTGGATGGTGCCCTTGTATAATTCCCTTCCCTTGAGCACAGGAGTAACTGGTAACTTGTTTCTCACCAACAAATGGCACAGGTGCCACTCCCTTGATCAGGTTGCCCTGTGTAGGAATCCAGCTCAGTAACTCCAGTGAGGTGCCCTTGCTGGTTCTGAAGAAGGGAGCTAACAAGACAGGGTCCTGTCTGTGAAGGGGCCACGTGGCAAGGAGAGCAGGGACCTCTGAGAGCTGAGAGCCGTCACCAGCTGACAGCCAGCAAGGAAACAGGGATCTCAGCCCCACAGGGACAAGCAAGCTGACTGCCAATAATGTGAATAAGCTTGGGAATGGATCCTTCCCCACCCAAACCTCCAGATGAGAACACAGCCCCCGAGCTACGGATACTGTACGAGAATGCGCATTGTGCTTGGCCTCCGGGCTCATGACAATTTGCTACGTAGCAATGTAAAATTACTAAATCTAGTTTAGTAATCGATATGTGAAATATGTATCTCTTAAGTGCAAACATCACCAGCCCATCAGAATAGCCCTCGCTGGCTGCAGCATCAAAGGTAAAACTTCATTCTTCCCACTCCGTGTGAGCAAGAACTCATCACCTCATCCTGGCACCCCAAGACTTTGCAGAGCGAACCAATCATTGTTTTTTTTTTTTTTTTAATGAGTCAAACTAAAAGCATTATGATCTGTGGATCTCCATACCCTATGATAAGGCCACAGCAACTGAATTGGTCCATCCTTCTAGCCAAGTTTGTACCTTCAAAGTAAATTTCAAAATCGCTGGCAGATCTTTAGCTCCTGCTCGAGCCCAGAGACTGAAGGCACAGCTCCCCCTGGTCCCATCTCTTCATTCTACCTGGGAACCTGAGTCCGTGCTTAGAAATGTCACTCAGTAGTTACAACTTTGGCCAAATATCCTTGCTGCTTCTCTGGCATTTTAGCTATGTAACAGCTCAAGGTTAAAAACAAAAACTTCCCTAAAAAATCTGYAGAGCAAGAACTTGTGATTCCTTCTTAAATTTCCATTTGTATCAATAAGTCTTTCATTCTCAACCAAAATGAAAAAGTCCTGAGCGGGTCCAACAAACGGGTTCTAATTCTGACACTAATTCTGAAGCGGCTTCCTGGAAATCTTTTTTTTTTTTTTTAATATATTTTATTTGTCAACAGACCTTTGTTTTGTTTATTTTTATGTGGTGCTGAGAATCAAACCCAGTGCCTTACACAGGCTAGGCAAATGCTCTACCACTGAGCTACAACCCCAGCCCTCCTGACAATCTTTTTTAAAAATTCTTTATTTTGTTTTTTTATTATTAAATTGGTGATTTTTAATTCTCTGAATTAAAATTTTTATCTAAGCTCTGTTTAAAATAAAAGTTGGAAGCCAGGTGTGGTGATGCACACCTGTAGTCCCAGCTTTTCCTGAGGCTGAGGCAGGAAGATCCCCTGAACCAACAATTTCGAGACCAGCCTTAGCAACATAGTGATACCATGTATTAAAAATAATAATAGGGCTGGGGATGTGGCTCAAGTGGTAACGTGCTTGCCTGACATGTGCAGGGCACTGGGTTCGATCCTCAGCACCACATAAAGATGTTGTGTCCAACAAAAACTAAAAAATAAATATTAAAAAATTCTCTCTCTCTCTAAAAATAATAATAATAATAATCAAAGAAAAGTAGAATGTCTAAATAAAGTCAGTTTCTGTTACCCTCAAGAGATAAATTATTGCTTTTATTACAAAGAATACTGTGACTAAAGTTGTGTGTTAGATTTTGAAAAGGCTGATTTTAATAACAGGCATACTTTTAAATATTCAAATTAGTTAAATTACATAAAAGGTACAAAATAAAAACTTCATTCATTATAGAAACTTGTCACATTCCCCCAAAATCCATATTCAGGAACTCATTCTACATGCCCATTCCTTCACCAGTCACTTAGTAAACATGAACATTATCTCCAAGGTTTATCCCTTGTCCTCAGCTTCTCCGACAGAAGGATGCTCACACCCAAGCCAAGAAAAACTACAAAACAGCCGTCCAGGAATTCGAGGCTGAGAACTTCAACAAACTCCCCTCTTCCTCCCGGCATAACCTGCACTCCCTCAGGCCCATCTCTAGCTGTGGAAAACAGCCAGTGGCCCACAGCTCAGAATCCTCCTGGACGGGGTGAGGCAGGGAACCCGAGCCCACGCAGCAGAAGAAGCCGGCCCAGGCCGAGAGTCAGCCCCAGGCAGAGAGTCAGCCCCAGGTCACAGCGCCACCTGACACCCCACAGCTTCTTTCCCCCTGTTCCAGCGACAGTGAGTCTTCCCCACSGTCTCACATAACACAGCTCAACGCAAAGTCCAGCAAGGGCTTCAAACCACAGCGTGGGTGTGAATGTCACACCTTCACGTGGGACATGAGGGCAGCAGAACTGTGCACTCGGAGACAGTGGAGCACCAGGTCAGCACAGCCGCTCAGAGAGAGAGCTGGCTGCGTCCTCCTGCCATACTGCTGCTGCGGCCAGCATCTCAGGAATCTACAAGTGCCTTCCAAAGTGATAAGGGCAGCCTCCAGGTTCTGATCAGGTCCCCAACCCAACCATCTCCTGAAGGACATCTCCCTGGCGTGTTGGGACCCGTGAGCTCGTGTGAAGCAGGGCAACCCGAGGGAGTGGGGGTGCTCCTGAACATGAGCAGGCCACGGGTGCATGAGGGCAGGGGACACAAGCACCCAAAGGACGGGAGCCACGTAGGTCACTTATCTATCCAGAGGTGCCAGGCAAGTGCTCTGCCACTGAGCTATTATTCTTCATCCTCACAACGTTCTCACTTCCTCTTGAAGGTAAATGAAGAATTTGTTCCTGAGAAGGGACATTGCACCTGCACTCAGGAGAGGCACAGGTGCATTATATAGTCACTCCCCCTGAACAGCCACAGGCTTTGTTCTGATGCGCTGGTCGCATCCTGGTGGCCAGCACTCCCGCATGACGTCTTCCCCCACTGGCCGCGTGGCTTCAGAACCAGCTGATACTGATCATGAGGGGTCTTCTCTGGGGCCCGAGGTCCCAGCACCAAGCTCTGTCACATGCACAGAGTCCAACCTCAGTGGAGTGCCAGCAGCCAAGGTGGCCAGAGCCACCTGACAACAGGAAG